TAATATCTCATATAAAACCTTTAAAAGTGGGAACATTTTGGCGATTTCCAAGCGTTGTATGTTCTGTGCATCTGAAGACCATCAACAGATTGAGTTTGCGTTGAACATCGTATCCTGTGGCAATGTTTCGCCATGAAACAGGAAATTGTTTGATGAGGGTCCTCACAAAGACAGGAGCACAAACACAAGAGTGTGTTTTGTGTGTGAGACAACGTGAAATGAAATCCTCTGAAAACCATTCCTTGCATGATGACATGAGTTTTTATTTTTGTCTTTGAGCAGCAGGAGGAGGAGAGAAACTCTCCTCTCTGGTTTCGTCATGTGTCCCTGAGCGGTTTGATGCAATCGGACCTCTATATCAGGCCCACTGTGAGGGGAAACATGAACACTAAATGACCGTTATATTGTTCTGACTGCTGGAGGAAGGAGAATAGACCAACCTTGTTTCAAAAATATGAAAACATTAAATTAACTCCGGCTTTGTTTTCTTTGTGTGAATCTATATTTTCTGTGTAAAGACCCTAGAGGCTCTTCAACACTGAAAACTGTAAAAAATTACATCTGCATGCACGGCAAAAAATAACAAGTGTAGCTGTTTTCAGTCAAAAAGATTAAGTACATAAAGAGTTTTCCTTTCTGAATTCCCTGCAGGAGCATCTGGCTCCCTTCTGATCTCCAGCTGAGAGTTTCACACAAATTTAACGTCTCACTTGGACTCAACAAACTTCAAAGGATTCATTTCTTAATCTGGCCGGTCAGATCTCAGATCAGTGGTTCCCAAACGGGTGAAAGGGATTTTAAGAGGCCTCCAGGGAACTCCAGGAGTCTCCAAGGTTCCAGGCAACTCCCAGAGAAACACATCAAGTAATCTTTTGTACATCAGACATGATACTAAGAGAAGAAACTGAAGTCAGCAGTGGAAGAAGTATTCAGATCCTTCACTTTAGTAAAAGTACTAATACCACACTATAAAAATACAAGCTTCCTCCCTCTCGCTGCTCTCCAGATATTTTCACATCTACATCGGTGAATTAAGGATNNAAACTAGAGTTGGTGATTGTTGGAAACACTAACAGAGACGATTTTATTCTGTTTCTGTCCACTTTTAATATTATACTCATATAATAATAAAGTATCATGAAGATCTGATGATCTGTGAGGTAAAATTTGTGTTTTTGTCTATGGAGCCTGGTGCTCGGTGATGGCTGTTTCTGGTTAAACAGAAGGGACTCTTTCCATAATGTTGTCAGACATATACTTCATGCCACTCCTGCATAAGTCAGTGCCCCTCTTGTGCCTCCCCAGTGAAAAAAGTCTGGGGACAGCTGGCAGGTTTGATAATAAACTTACTTAGTAATTTTTACAGTGTGTTATTAGAGTGTTATTTTCCTAACTTATAACACGATACTTCCAACATTGCTCCTGACGTCTTTGTCTGTTAAACCTCTGAACAAACCGTTGTTCTCCTTGACAGAAGTTTCACCTGTGGACAAAGTATTTGTATCTTTCTACCATCTTTTCATGTCTTCTCAAAGCTTCCTGCCACTGCACATCCACACCGACCCTCCTCCCCACAACCACGTACTGCCACAATACTACTGCAAACCAAAGAAAACTTGCATTGTGCTACACAGAGAGGTGTTTAAATGGGGTCCACCCCTGAAATAAACTTATTTCTACCACCAGGTGAGATGACGGATTAAAGAACAACAGAAAGAAATATAAGTTCTTCCTCTCATCTGAATCATCTGTCAGAACTGACACTAATTTTAATGAAATACCTGGCAGATCCTGAGGGATTTTCTAGATAAACACATGATTAAGTTTCTCGAACGTGGAAAAATTCTCCGGAGAGCTTTTCTGCTACAGATCAGCTGTGGATTTCATTAGTTTTTAGCTCGCTGGCTGCTCTGTTTACTCCAGGAACTTAAGTGACAGAGAGCATGGCGGGAAACATCACGAACACAAATCATCTCTACAAACTGATGGAAACTTATCAGAGTTTATTAAATCTGGTTGATGAGATACTGTATTTTACAGCATGCTTCAGGATTTATTTAATCAGATTCACACAAACAATAATCACATGTGCATTCGTTATGATGACATTAAAACTAAACTATGATGAAGTGTAATATTGTTTCTCACCTTGCAGTCCGGACTCAGACTCAGACGTCTTTCCTTCATCCTGCTCCCGGATTGGCTGCGACCCACCTGGCGAACGGTGATCCTGGACACTGATTGGTCGACTCTGACAGTCTCCGTCCTCTCTGCTCTCCTGTTGTTTGGACGAAAAGAGCCAATCAACTCTTAAGTGAAAGCCACGAGAACTGACTTCAAAACTGACAAATTCAGAGACGGTTTCAGGAGGCTATTAGCTAATTAACTGCTAAGAGGATTAATTAATTAAACATGAGTCCACGAACAGAGGCAGTTTGTGGTCAGGGGGGTTAATTCAATAACTGTAGTTAAATACACATAATTAATCTTTTCTTACATTCAGTACATCCAGGCTGACTTTTTCAAAATGGCGGCTCCTCAGTTCCCTCCTTCGGGTGTGGATCTCCTCATATTTCTCCTCAGCCAGTTTCCTGCAGAGACAGAAACAAAGACATGAGCTTAAAGGCGCAATATGTATGAATTTTAGTCTAAAACGTTCAAAAATTAACTAAAATTATTAACAGAATGTGAAGAAATAATAGTTTCGGACGTTATATCTATGGATTGTGTTCAGATTAGCATGCTAATACCACTACCCCAAGATAGTGTGTCACTGTAGCATCCAGTCCGCCTTCAGTCCAACAACATCAAGGTGGTTTTCCTGGCGGGTTTGGCTCCTGGAACCCGGGGACTGACCCTGCCGTAATCCCACGTGCTGTACTGTATTCCCTGTCGGCCTCCTGTGTCTGGTCCCGGTCCAGCTGTGTGCCTGGGGAGGCTTGCCTGTCTCTGGTTCCTATTCTGGCTCCAAGAAGAGCGCCGGGCTTTGAAGCCAATTTGACATAGTGGCCAGACCATGAAATTACAGCAATGGCGTCCGTCACGTGATGCAAACTGGCCAAAAATGACTTTTTTCCATAAGACCACATTGTGAAAGAAGCAGCTGTAAAACCGTATGTGAAGTTTTTCAAGCATCAGAACTTCACTATCAGAATTTGATCCGTTCAGTCCGATAATATTTTGAAAGTCTAGAAGATCCGCACAATTAAACTGGAAGTTAGCCGCTTGGTCAGAGATGGTCTCCAGGCAGCTACAGTTAGTGGTTACTCTGGTAAAATGCTGCCCCCCATTTGTTTGGAATATGAATTCCACATGTGGCCAGAGTCTGTGTGTATGTGTGTATGTGTGTGTGTTACCTGAGTCTCCTGGCCTTCTCGTCGGCAGCCTGCAGTTTGCGGAGCCTCATTCTCTCTCTTGGCGTCATCTTCTCCACCTCTGACTTCTCCATCAGCGTTTGCAGGTGAACCTTCGTTTGCCTGCAGACAACCACACATACACACACACCTATCCATCATCTGGAACTGTCCTATCACATCACTGCATTCTCCTCCTCTCCAAAACAAACAGACCTGCTGATTAAAACCACTAAACACACTGAATAAAGCAGTTCCACCTTAAAAATCACTGCTTCTCCCACGCTGTTGGACAGA